GGCTTGGGCCCCTGTCCAGGTCTCTCTGGATGGCATCCCTCCCCTCCAGCATGCCTACCTCACCAAACAGCTTGGTATCATTGGCAAACTTGCTGAGGGTGCACTCAACCCCACTGTCCATGTCACCGACAAAGACGTTCAACAGTACAGGTCCCATTCTGTTTCCCCAAAAACCATTATTCACAAGAGATAAAGCAGAGCAAGCACTGAAGAGCTAGCCACCTTTTTTTTTTGTTTTCCCTAGTCAGTGTATGGTGTCAGATATAGCTCATGATGACTGTAATTCAAGCAACTCTTACCTTTTCGGTATTTGAGATTAAAATTATTAGAATTCTTTAACAGCATTTGCATGTGTACTTGTGTGTGCGCCATTAAAGCAGATACAACGAAAAAAGATCGGAAAACTTGCCTGCCTGTCTCACTGGTAAATCCAGTTGCTCGGACATAGTGATCTGAAGCAGAGTTGAAACAAAGTTCACAGACTTATGAGCCTGTAGAGGAAAAAAAAAGAATATTATTTAGTCATAGTTTGTTAAGTTTTAGAATACTCCCATTAAGTTTTACAATATCTTTATAATGATGTAATGCAATCAATAGAATACCAGCAATTCAGACAGTTTCACAGTAGTCAGCTAATCAACCAAAGCATTCCAAAGTGTCACGTTCGCTGTATTCTGAAGACAGTATGGGGGGCGAAAAACCCTACTGTTTAAGGTAATAGAGTTGAAATCATGAAACAGGCTTCAGGAATTGGCATGTTACAGTCACCAAACACGTTCTTCATTCAGAACAAATGCTTACTTGAAAGAAGATCTAAATAGCCAGAAAAACCCAAGCGCAGCAAGTTTACAGTGACCTTTTAATGAGGTATGAATTCATTATGTAATAATCTATGAAACAGATGGCAACTATGTTTTAAAACTAAGCCCAACCTTAAGCAAGCCTGCCCAACTCATAGTTCATCTTTCCACAAAAACAGCTTCCAGTGACCATTTATGCATTACACTGCAGCAACTGTCAGCGTACCTATACAACAGCAAACCAGCAGCATGGACACCTAAATGGAGTGACATCCACAGAGTAACAACTTTGCAAGGATTTGCAAGAGTTCACTTACAATGAAAACAAAACGTGGTTTGTTTGTTTTTTTTTTACAATAATGACAAATGTCAATGATACGGTAAAAGCTTACACTAAATGACACGCTACGTACCTTAACATTATTACCACACCCTTTACCCACCTTTCCTAAGCATCAAAAACTTGAGACATTAAATTAATTTCACTGGGAAAAGTGAAATGTAATCCTTAAAAACTAACTCTACTTTTTATAACTGGAAAACAACATAACTTTCCTCAATGTCAAGAATCAATGGATATGAGCTGCAGTGAGGGAAGTTCCCATTTTACAAAAGAAAAGAAAAAATTGGCAAGGGCAGCCAAGGTCTGGAACAGTCTGTCCACAGAGGCTGTGGGACCTTATCCGTTGAGATATTCAGAACTCAGTTGGACAAGTCCCGATCTACCTCATCTAACTTTGAAACAACTTTGCTTCAGGGAGCTGGACCAGATGATCCACAGACGTCCCTTCTAACCTAATTACTCCATGATTCAGAATTGCCAATATATATTGTTCCTTTATCTTCACCTACATGTCAATATTGTTTCATATGTTCTTTGCAGTACTTCCATCAAAAGACAACTGCATAGATCTACATAACTTAACCTGTTAAACTCACAGGAAAACGACTCTTATCTACTTACTCAGTTTATTACTGCCTACATAAAGCAAATAAATTAATACTTTGAAAACCACTTATATTACACTATCTGTTTATAAAAAGTAAATTATTGTCTCAGTTACTGCAGCAAATTAACACCATAAAGAGAAACCAGAAATTATCTTTCTATTGTTTTAGTAGGACCAAGAACTTTTTTGACAGTACGAAATGTCAACATTCCTTCAAAGAGCCTAACACGGCCCAGCTCATTCCTACAGCACCAGGTTCTCTCCAACCTTAACCTTCCCTAGCATATATCTCCTATATGTTCTAGTACAAACAAAAGGAACAGCCTAGGAGATGACACTTGTTCATGCATTTGTACTAAGATTTGATTACCGTAGCTTGTTTTCTATCACCCGTCATTTAAAACTGATTTTAAATGAAAAATGAATTTGACTTAAGAATCTCCCCAAAATGTTAAACCATTCTTGTACATATTCATTCTGTGCACTACAAATCTACAGGCCACAGAAAACCCACAGAAGCACACTCACATCTGGTTCAACTGTAAAGGTTTATTTGTAGAGTGTGTTTTGATGAATTGGGAGTAACTGGCAGTGCAGTATGAGCACCCATTTTTTGGACCCACGTCCCTCTCATATCCCCAAAGTCCAGAAGAAGCAAATATACTTTCAAATGAAAAAAAAAAAGAAAAAGTATTTGTTTTCAATTGTCAGGTAATGGTTGAATAAATAGATTTAAAATAAAAATTACTTGTTGGTATTAATTTCTATTACAGCTCCCGGTTCATTAAGTTCCTTCTTTTCTTAAGTAACATCAATAGACACACTTTTCGTCTAACCAACACATACCAAATTACATTAGACCCTAATTCAGCACAGTACTCAATTATATGCCTAACATTAATGTCAGCGGAAGCATTCCTACACTTAAATGTGTTATTATGAATTTACTGAAGAAAGCTTTAACTCACCTACAAATAATGCAATATTACAGTCTGCATAAAATGGACTTAAAAGTGCAAACTGGTGTCTTTTCACAATGACTATGATAACAGTTAGCTTTTCAATAGTGAAAATTCGCAATGCATTTCATGATTGGAAATTGAAAAGCATTTAATCCTAGAATTTTAAAAATGAAGGATTACTTTCCCTTTTTTATGACAAATGACGACTACCCTTTCAAGTAAAGCAGCTGTAACAGGGACATTTCAATAAAAATACAGAAATTGCTTCGGAAATATCAAGGAACTAATTGAAAAAAATTGAATACAAAAATGATGTGTTTTACAAGCAAAAAGCAAGAAAGAAATTGACAGCAGTGTGCAAAACTACCACACACTGAAATTTAATGAAATACCAAAGATTAATCTTTTCTTCATTAAAAAAATCAGGACTGAGCCTATGACTGTAGCAAGCTCCAGAAGCTCCCTAGAAATGTCAATTATATTAGTATGTGGGACTAATATATTTTCAGTGGATTCTTTGAACTATAACAAAATTTAAAGGATAGGACCAAAACATCTACACCATTATCTTGTTTTTTTAAAAAAATCTTACAAGTATCATCCTTATTAACATCTCAAGCATCAGACACCTACCAGCTGCGAGGATGAGCTACTTTATCACCTTTAGTGGTTCAAAGCAGAGATTCAGACTAGAAATAATTTGTGCTTTTAATATAAAGTAGCAGAAGTAAAATACCTTGTACTTTCCAAACAAAGCCTCCTCTCAATTCCTTCAGTTCATAACAAAATTCACAGAGCTACGTTAACACTTCTATGCATTCTATATGGAATACAAAGTACTTCTAAACTCTTTACCATGATTCCCTTCCCATGCCACTGAAGGGAATGTGATTCCAGAGAAACTGAAATGTGGGGAGGAGTAAGGACAGCTACATGAAGGCATGTGTGTACTGAACGGTCAAATAAACCCCCAGGTACTACAATAACCTGTCACTTGCTCCCTTGTTTTGCTTTAGTATTAAAAAGAACATCCAATGTTTTATTGGCACCCGGAAAAAACAACTGAACTTAAAATAAGACACCACATAAGCACCAATTTTGTATCTATGGCATTAAAATATACAGAAAAAACATCAATTTCAGCTATTTTAATCTTTAGTATTTGTAATCTCCAAAGATGGCTACCTCTGAGGACATCATGTTCCTCTTTACCAACAGCACTGCTAAAAAAAAAACCCAACCAAACAAAAAACCTACACCTATTTCAGGTACATATTCTATAGAAATATTGGCTTTTGGTTTTAGTGCATACACTTAGCCAGAATACTTTGTTATACAAAAGATGAGCTGCAAATGAAGATTCACTGAAGGTCTACCAGGGATCTATCTGAATGTAGTGGATTCCACCGGCCCACATGTGCCCCAGTCTCCAGAAGAACTGGGTGCACCAATGCCACTTCAGTGAAAGCCACTGGCAAGTAACGTCATTCTACACAAGTCCCATGGCTCCAGCATTCAAGAATTAAAATCAAGATTTCACAATGGTGGTTATCACATACTCTAAACTGTGTGGAGAACAGAAACAATTTCTATGACTTTAAAGTTTTGACATTGATAAAACTTTGTCTTTTATTCTCTTGCTCCTTGTTTACAAATACCCTTTTAAAGTACATATTAATTTAGACAACTACAATGATAACTGGAAAAAAAAAAGGTTGTCACTGTCAAAGTCTGTTTTCCAACAAGCAACTCAGTATTTTAAAAAAAACAAACCCAAAACTCATCTCAAGTCCTTCCCCCTTACAAATCCTTCAACATGCCATGTCACTGGTATGACTTTGTTGTTTAAGAGCCAAAGAATTTAGGGACTTTTCCCAAGAGCAGTCTTTGCTATGCAGCCGTGCTAGCTGAGGAATGTATTCTATCAGACCACAAACGCTGCACCACTATCTGTTAATATCAATCACTGTTTCAGAACATACAATCTTTTTTGCATATTTCATTGTAGTTTCTCCTAGCAGAGTTGACTTGTTAACCATGTGCTAAAACACACTTTTGAGAAAAGAGTCATGCCAACTACATAACCTGAAATATAAATGAAGTTTGAAGTTAACATTAAAAGAGACCAGTTCATCGCATATCAACAGTTAATCATGATGCAGAAAAGCTCTTTTTCCCCAGTAATGATAGCCTCTAAAGTCAGTTACATTCGTCTTTAATACTAGAATTATTCACATCTTACACAAAACCTGCATGCCACTAAATCGCAAAAAAAAAAAAAAAAGCTTCCTCTCAGGTAAAAAGAGCTCCATGCATTCTTTTTAAACATTGAGAATTTAACATACCATAACAGACACACTACTACAGGTAACTCCTTTACTGTTACCAAAAAAGCAAATCGAAAGGGTAATATTTACTGTATGTTGCTGAACTAGAACCCTAGGTTATTTATATAGTTATTCAAAGTAGCACACATTTAAACAAAGGCTACAATTTATTTTTAAAGGAGTAGAAAAAATACAAATTCAATGCATCTCTGCTGTCCCAATTTTGAAAAAAAGTACATGCAATTTTTGATCTAGACCTTAACAGGACTAGGTGAACACAGCTGTTACACCAAGATGAAACAGTTTGGTTTTTTTTATAGCAAGGTAAGGTCAGGAACTGTAAGACCATGCTGAATCAGCAAACTTCCCCATAGCACTCTTTCAATTCTTTTTTAAGAACTCAGCAGGTGTGGAAGTCATTCTGACCTCAGGTTTTTGCAAGCTAGTTCTGC